GAAAACTTGGAGGAGTTTAAAAACAAATTTCTCACACGCAAAAACCAAAACTACCACCACTGTTATTACGCCGGCACACAAAACCAAATGATAACATCCAATTATTAGAAAGCTGATGTGTAACACTTTAGCAAATTCAGTGGATTTCCTGAATTTGCAGCTTCTCTGCTGCTTTAAGGAAAATGTAGGCAAGATGCAGACCCTTCAGGCATTGAGTATTTTGCCTTTTTAGTGCTGAATGTTGGCAGCTCCCTTGCTGCTACAGTTTGTTGCTTATGAAAAGCAGCTGTATTTGGAGGTCCTAGTAATACCCAATAGTATCAAATCTATACTTTCTGAAGAAGTCTACCTCCTTCAACACGACAATGTGCAACATCCATAACATCCAAGTTGAGACTTGATCGGGAAGTAGAGGACTGATGGCTTAAAATGCTGCTTTATAGTTTACCACAAAGACAGTTGAACGAAGATCATTTTCTATCAGACTTCCAAGTTTCCAAGCGGGGTGGAGAGGAAAGGAGACTGCATAAGCAAGCCAGGGTCTTTTTTTCATAAAGTTTCTATAACCTTTTCTTTCTTCCTTATACTCAAACATCATATTCAGGGCTGTTACTCCCTGCTTATCTCAGCTGGACATAACCAAACAAAACTTCCACAACCACTGGAGCGTATTCTGGACAAGAAACCTAGAATTTATTTTCTGTCAGATTAAGCAAATGAACGTGCATTAAACTACACCACTGGGACAGTGTGCTTTTTTATTCTCACCATGGAGAAAGACATCAGAGATCAACTTGCTAGGTATGATTTTTTAAAACCAAGTTTATTTCACCGCTGTAACACAGTTTTCACTTCATGCTCAAATTTTCCTCATCTATTCAAATTCAATTCATTTAGTGTCTGAGAGTTAACAAGAAATTTCTTCCTTTACTTCTAGCAGCCTTTTGAAAGAGTCAAACACAGAAATGCTCAAGATTTTTTTTAGATTACTCTTTCTTCCATCAGTTATTAATCCTACAGAGAAAAATGAAAGGTTTAAAACCTTCCACCTCCCACTTGCACAGCTCTTAACACCAGTTATGAGATGATATTGTCCCAGACAACCCCGATGAAGCAAATTAACTAATTTGACACAGTAAAGCTTTGAAAACAATGTGAGGGGAGGTCTAGCAATTATTTGCATATAGCACGCAGACGGACAGACACTTGAGCAATGAAGCGATGTCCTACCTCTCCTTGCCGGTGATAGTGCTTGGGAGGTTTTCCCATCTGCTTTAGCATTTTGCCCTTCTTACTGCTAGCAAGCGTCAGTCCCTGGTGGATGCCTGCAGATCTGTTGGTTGCCTGAGTTGGAGCCTCCCCCATCAGGGTGGACTTGATGGAGTTCACCTTGGAGCTGGAGCTGTCTAGCTGGGAGCTCTCCACGATCAGGACCGCGGCTAGTAAGAGGAGACAGCAGGAGCACTTATTCCACATCAGCACGATCATCTCCCCTCCCCCCAAAAGGACTATCTTTTTTTTTTTTCTTTCTTTCTTTCTTTTTTTAAGGCAAAGAAAACAAAAGAGAGGGGGGAAAAAAGAGTTTTTAAAAGTATCTCCCAAAGTTGTTAACAAAGCAATGGATTTCAATGCCACACACTCAAGGAACTGCTGTTCTGGGAGACACGGGAGAAAAAGAATTAAAAAAAAAGAATCCCCTAGGTAAAAAACGTGTCAAGTCTATAGGCACTGAGCAACTATCGGGTCTGTGAAGTGATGGCTGTGTCCTCCGGGTCCTCGAGAAGTCCAAGCAATTCTTTAGTAACCGAGAGCAATAAGCTACGAGGCAACTGCACCCAGGGCAGCTCCCCACCAGTGCAGCCACCAGCACGTTTGCTTAAGCTTCAGAGGAAGAGCGAGTGCGTTACTTCCCC